ACCTCCACCACCGCCACCACCACCACCGCCGCCAATAAGACCTACAATTTGGCCAAATCCATCATTAGCACCCGATCCATGACCCTCGCCAAATCCAAAGCCAGAACCAAATCCACCATTACTACCACCACCGCCGCCACCACCACCGCCGCCGCCGCCACCACCAAGTCCTCCTAAAATTTGGTCAAAACCGTTGAGGTCGATTAAATCCCTCCTAAGAAGCTTTCTCGCAGAGGAAGTTTGCACTACAACTCCCAAAATAAGTACAACAAGCATCAATTTCCATGACATTTTTGCACCTTTTGTTACCGCTGCAAAAAATAAATAAAAATTAGATCAGCTACGAAGCTAGAAATTTTATTAAGAAAATTAAAAAAAAATACAAAAATGTAATTATACATATTTTGAATTTTTTATATATGAAAGATGAAATTATACTAATAGTGTACTAGATCCATCTTATCTATATGGTACATCATGAAGATGTTAGGAAATAATGGATTTGGGAAATAAATAAAAACAACCGATTTCGATAGAATATATAATCTCTATTCTTAAGGAATTTAAGCCCTCACTATATTGCTGCATGGATAATTTGTAGTAGAATTCCTTTAGAATTTTACAAAATCAACGAAAATTCGAATTTATATGTATATATATGTGACACCATATACATATATTCAGTATAATTCGATAAATGTAATTTAGAAATGGTAATGTGTATATATATTGTCTTATACCTCCTACTTTATGAAGATATAGAGATTGTTTTGATAGCTTATCGAATATTAAACACTAATAGAATTAGTTATAACTAATACTAACATATATTATAAAAATTAAACGGAATTAATATGTATCTTACTTTGCTTTCGTGGTAGGCTGAATGTTGGAGTGGCCATGAAAATGCTAAAATATTACTTATATTGTATTAATGTTTGAGGTATTATGAAAATATATGCATAGGAAAGAAGTTATATATAGGTACCTTGAAGCCTGACGTATTAATGAAATATTGGTAAGTTACTATTATTCAAAGTACAATTAATTAATTTATTAATACACAAACCTTGCAAAACGTTAAATTAAATAAAAATAAGAATGAAGTGAATGTATGTAGTTGAGCATAAATTAAAGAGTTAATAAAGAAAGAGTTACCCAAGGGAAATATATATTGCGTTTTGCTTTATTTATTGAAAGTAGAAAACATTATTTGCCATATTTTTATTTCTTTTTAATTTGGAATTATTAAAATAATAAAATTCCTTGACTTAATTACTCGACATTTAGATAATAAAGTTAGCAAAAATTAAGTATTAGTGTAAATTTTTAGTGGAGTTAAGTTTTTATAACTTAAATTCTAGCGTAGTCAAGAAAAATATTTTATTCATAAAAATCAATTATTGAAAATATCATCAATTAATTAATAAATATTTACAACATTAATTAGTTCAGTTGACCATGCATCAATAAACAAAAGAGGGTTAGTAAAGGAAATTGCATCTTGCGTTTCATGTTATTTATTAGAAATTTATTAGAAGTAGTAGAAAAATAATATATGTAGAAAAAATAATCCATGTCATTTTTGGTGGGATATATATTACTATATAAGAAGAGGGAATAATCAAGCACCACAAGTCAACACGTGTTTCAATAAGAAGAGGGAGTAACCAATATATTTATAAAAAGAAATGACATATAAAATAAAAATGTAGAGAGTATTAGTTTTTGAAAAATGGAAAAAGACAAAACACATATAAAATTACAAGACATATAAAAAAAAGTTGGTTTAACTCTCAAACATAAAAAGTAACATATGTTATTAAAAACTTTAATAAAAAGTACTATAATTTACAATAAATAATAACTTAAAATATCTACAGGACAATAAAAAAGACTAATTTTTGTACTGCTTGTGTCACATAAATTAGGATTGGGATGATTTTAAAATTTTAATTTTGGTTATACATTATAAAATAGGGCGAAAAATTGAATGATATAATTTTTATAAAAACAACCAAATGAATCGTCCTATCGATAACTCTAATGTTACTTCTACTCTGTTTATTTTTACTTAAATTTAGAAAGATATGCTTCATTTCTACCCTCAATCTTATTTCTACATTTATTTGCTATTTAAAATTGAAATTAAAAAGACAAATAACAAATAAGTTTCTATATTAGCTCACTTATGAGCAAAATATATTATAACAATCTTTACTAATTTTATAACAATACATAAACTATACTCCCTCCGTCCCATATTTGATGGGAACTTCCAACTTTACACGGTGATTAAGAAATCATTAATACATTGGAAGACTTCACCATTTTGCCCTTTGTTTATATCAATGCACATTGAAATGAGTTCCAAAAAATACACATACAATATAGAAATGGTCATATTAATTGTAGGGGTAAAATGGAAAAGAATTAATTAATTCTATCCTAATTTAATAAGTGCTCAAATAATATGAAAAAAATATTTTTAGCAGGATTCTCATCTAATATGGGACGGGGAGAGTAACAATATAACTTTATTAATGTTGGGCCCGGGCAGCGCCCGATCTTTCTTTACTAGTATATATATATATATATGAATGACTTTTTTATTTTTTAATAATAAAAAACAAAAGCTAGATCAATGCATATATTTTGTCCTCTCCACACTGACCCAACATCCCCAATTCCCATCACTTGACTATCCCACCTTGAACCATTACTCCCCACCCCTTTCCGCACATATAGTATTTTGCTAGATTATGTATAAATATTTTTTTCACTTATCACACAATAGAAAATAAATAAAAACCCTATTTATTTACCAACAAAACATTGTTGGTAAAAGTCAACAAATATTTTATTGTGTCTAAAAATATTATTATTACTACAATAAGTTTCAACTCGTGGCAAAAATGAATAATTAGCTACAAATTTTACTATAGCAGAAAAGACGTGGCTATATCATTTAATTGTTGCCACAAATTTTTATAACTTGAAGCAAAAATATTTATTCAGCTACAATAGTTTATTTCAAATAGTTTATTGTAGCTAAAATATTACTACTGCTACAATAATTTCTATAGCGTGTCAAAAATTTATGATTAGCTACAAAAAGTTTACTATAGCACGAAGATTGTAGCTATTCATCCAAATTTTGCCACAATTATTAGCAAGTGTAGCAAAAATGAAGGATTAGCTTTGTTATAAAAAATTTGTGGCTAAGAAATTTTATGAATTTTTAGATAGCTATGAAGTTTAAAATTTTGTGGTTATTACTAGGTAATTGCTATGCTTTATACATTCATAGCTTAGATTTCGTAACTATAGATACAATGTGTTGTAGTGCGGTCATAAATAATTGCATTAAACTAAGGAATAATCCTTTACTAATATCTGAATATTAAAAATATTTAAGAGATAGGATCTTCAAAAAAAAAATATTAAGAGTATTCTAACATGAACAAGAATACTCTACCTTTTCACATTAGCTTTATCTCGTTTCATCCATTTTTTTAGATTTATCATTCAAACTGTAGATGTGCGACATTATATAAAGACATAAAATGATACAATTTATCCAAACATTGTATTCATTAAAACAATACAATACCATATAATACAATTCATTATAAAACAATACATAACAACCATCCAAATAGACATTGTAATATAGCAAAAATATAACAATTAAGATCCTGTTTCCAGAAAACTCAAATCTTACTGATAAAACAAAACTCAAATTGATTTTTTTCAAGAAATTAATCAAACACTTCGGGCAAAAATAGTTTTAAATAACAAAACTAAATTATTGTCTGAAAACATGAAAAATCAATGATGGGATATTCAAATTCTACCACTATCATCTTCGCGGCCTCTCCCTCCTTCATTGCTACCACCATTTGCACCATTACTAGCTCTGTGGTCGTCGCCAACTAGACCTCCCACAATTTGTTGAACCTTGTGATTCCAGCACCAATTTAGGTTGTTCAGAAAATATTCTCGCTTGTATTTTTCCTTTGGTGTGAATAATATTCTTATTTGGTCCTTTATTCCAGGCTCTCCCTCCAAGATTGAAGATTTTATTTTTATTTTTCGGGGAGGAATCTTCTTCTGACATTCCAACATCCTTTCATTTAAAAATTATTAATGTTGTAAGAATTCATAAAACATATATATATATATAGAAAGATAACGACCAAAAATTATAGTGCAACTACAAAATTAGTTGTCAAATAGCTTATATCTAACAAGTATTTTTGATAATTTGTTGTTAATACATTATTAAATAAGATTATATAATGATAAAAAAAAATTATTCAAATGATGAGATTTATCAATTTCTAATTCCTATATTTTCTATAGTGATTTTTTTATTAAAAAAATCGTTGTCTAATAGCTAGCGTAGCATTAAATTACCTTGTTTTTTGTGTTTCACATTCCTATTCATGAGGTTGTTCATTGCTCCACCGAAAAACTTTTTGACCTCCCTCTTGCCATAGTTGTTGCTTTTCAGTTTCTTTGTTGCAGACTTCCTTTCCAAGATGGAACGTTCAGCCTTTCTTTTCATGGAGTGATTTTCAATAACTCCAACCTTTGGATAAATAAGAAAAAAATAATAAGAATAATGTAAATGTCTTTGCGTCTTAACATGACAATAAAAGTTAGTATCATATAGTTAGGACCTTACCTCTTTTACATCAGTGATTTCTTGATCAACTTCAAGCTTTGATAAACCCCTGAATACATATTTTCTTACCTCTACAAGAGAACGACATTGTTTGCTCTTATGATAGTAATACTGCAATTCAACAAAGACTTTTATTACGAACTAACTAACTAACTATATATATATATATATATGATTTTACAAAATACAAACTGCACACATTAACTAGCTCTCATTTTCTTGATATATCAATGGTTAGGGATTCATTGATCCTTAATTAGGATAAAAACTAGTCATATATAAAAAAAATTAAATAGCTAAAGAAAAATATAAAATATAAAATCCAAATAAGTTTGAATGTGATAGTATTGTTGTAGTTTAGTAGTCCAATTTATAATAAGAAAATAAAGTTTAATTATCGCTTAACACACACAAAACAAATGTTGTAATTATTTTTTTTAAGGAAAAACAAAAGATAAAACAAGCGATAATATAATTAAGTGGAGGATTCACGATATTGGTAGTGATCAATAAATCCAAAAATTGTATTTACCATGTCAAATGCTCCAGATCCATTTTCACGTCGTCTCTTTTCAGCTACCCATCCATGTAGCATCTCCTTGTATTTACGGTTCAGACGATCAGTAATTGGTTCTTTTGTAGAATTTGTACCAACCGTTTGTGGATTATAAATGGTGTAACAGTTAGCTTCATCTTTACAAGGTTCAATTTGGAAGCTAACATTACGAAAGACTGATCTATTCTTCTTCTCATGATCAATCATGTTTTCGGAAACTCTCAAAGGAATTATAAGAAGAAGAAAAAGTAAAGAAAACTCAAGAATAATAGTTGAGAAGTAATGTGGTTTGATGCTTGAAATATCGAGGACTATATATAGATAATTAAATTGAGAAGATGGAAAGTAAT